GGAAAGGAAAGGAAAGGAAAGGAAAGGAAAGGAAAGGAAAGGAAAGGGAAAAGGAAAGTAAAAAAGAAAGGAAAGGGAAAAGGAAAGGAAAAAGAAAAGGGAAAGGAAAAAAGGAAAGTAAAAAGGAAAGGAAAGGAGAGGAGAGGAGAGGAAAGAAGAGGTGAGGAGAGGAGAGGAAAAAGGAAAAAGGAAAGGAAAGGAAAAGGAAAAGAAAGGAAAGGAAATAAAGGAAAGGAAAGGGAAAGGGAAAGGAAAGGAAAAAGGAAAGGAAAGGAAAGGAAAGGAAAGGAAAGGAAAAAGAAAAAAGGAAAAAATAAGATAAAAAAAGAACAGAACAGGAATCAACAAACATTGTTCACAGACTACTCCCAATATCATGTTTTTAACCCCTGTCCTCCCTAAAAAAAGACACTGACTCACAGACTGGATTAGAAAAGAGAATACTGTCTACTGCATCCAAACCAAAAAATAAACAAATAAATAAATAAAATAAACCTTACATAAACGTCAGACATCATCTTGAGGTAAAAATATAAAAAATGATATTCCAAGTAAATGAAACAAGTAAGTTCACTTTTAAATATCTCACAAAATTGACACCATACTAAAACTATTCTGAAGATATAGGAAAGGACACTACATTACAAACAAACAAAAGAACATGAGGGTATTTTTAAAAGAGTTAAGCAACAAACACAAAGGCAACCAAGTTCATAAAAGTAACACTATAGCAGCTTAAGTCAGATATTGACCCTCATATACTCAAAGTGGGAGATTGCAATAACCCATTCTCACCAAAAGACAGGTCCACCCAGACAAAAAAACTAAACAGAAATGTTGGAGTTTCTGTTTAATGTCATAGTAATAAATGTCAATATAATGTCAGAATGTCATAAACCAAACTTACCTAAATACAAAAGAATATACCATTTTTTTCCTCTTTCTCAGCAGCTCATGTACTTTCTCCCAAACTAACAAGATACTGGACATATAGCAAGTCTCAACAGATACAAGAAAACTCAAATAACATCCTGTCTGACCACCATGGAGTGAAAATGGATTTCAGAAGCTCAGCCTGCATCCCTGGAGGCCTGCTGCCACCAAGGAGAAACAGAGGTAAACTGCACCTGCTCCTCAGGGTTCCATTTTCTGGCACACAACTCAGCCTGCATTGCTGGAGGCCTGCCAATATCAGAGACAACCAGATGGCTAAAGGCCAGCGTAAGAACACAATCAACAAAAGCCAGTGCAATACAGCAGTACCAGAACCCAGCTAGATTATCACAGCAAGCCCAGGATATCCTAAGACAGGTGAAGCACAAGAAAGCAATGTTAAACCCAATTTAATGAAAAAGATAGAGGCCTTTAAGAGGAAATTAATAAATGTCTTAAATACAGAAAAATACAAACAGGTGGAGGAAATGAATAAAACTGTTCAAGACCTGAAAGTAGAAATAGAGGCAATAAAGAAAACAGAAATTGAGGGAATCCTGGAGATGGAAAACCATGGTAGAGAACACAAACTACAGATACAAACATTACCAACAGAATACAAGAGATTGAAGAGAGAATTTCATGTGTAGAAGATACAAAAAAAAAAAAAAAAAAAAAAAAAAAAAAAAAAAAAAAAAAAAAAAACCTGATATATCAGTCAAAGAAAATGTCAAATCTAAAAAGTTTCTAACACAAAACATCCAGGAAATTTGGGACACTATGAAAAAGAGGAAACCTAAGAATAGGACTAGAAGGAGAAGATTCCCAGCTCAAAGGCCCAGAAAATATTTTCAACAAAATCATAGAAGAAAATTTCCCTAACTCACAGAAAGAGTTCCCTACAAATGTACAAGATGTTTGTAGAACACCAAATAGATTGGACCAAAAATGAAAATCCTCTCACCACATAATAATCAAAACGTTGAATGTACAGAAGAAAGAATATTGAAAGCCCCAAAAGACAGACCTATCAGAATTACACCAGACTTCTCGGCAGAGACTTTCAAAAGAGCCTGGGCAAATGTCTTGTAGTCTCTAAGAGACCACAGATGCCAGCCTAGACTTCTATACCCAGCAATACTTTAAATTAATAGAGATGGAGAAAACAAGAAATTCCATGGCAAAACCAAATATGAACAATAATTATGTACAAATCCAACTCTACAGAAGACACTATAAGGAAAATGAACCGAAGGACATTAACTACACCAACAAAAACATAGGAAATAAATAGCCCCACACCAGGAAAACTACAACAAAGAAAGTGCACACATTTGCGCGCACGCGCACACATACACAAACAGACACACACAACCACCACCAACAACATCAAAATAAGAGGAATTAACATTTGTTGTTCATTAATATCTCTCAACATCAATGGGCTCAATTCCCCAATTAAAATAAACACAGACTAACAGAATGGATATGAAAACAGGATCATTCTACTGTATAAAAGAAACACACCTCAGCAACAAAGATAGATTTCCCAAAAAAATGGACTCAAGAAACAAGCTTAATTAGCCATTCTAATATATAACAAAATAGACTTTCAACAAAATTAATCAAAAGAGATGGGGAAGGACACTTTATACTTATCAAGGAAAAAAAATCACCAAAAATGACATGACATTTCTGAATATCTATGCTCACAATTGAAGGGCACCCACATTCATACAGACATCGGACCCTACACATTAATAGTAGGAGACTTCAACACCCACTCTCAGCAGTAGACATCCAGACAGAAATAAATAATGAAACTACCAGGAGTTATGAATCAAATGAACTTAACAGATATTGACAGAACATTTCATCCAAACACAAATGAACATACCTTCTTCATAGCACTAATGGAACCTTCTCCAAAACTGACTGTTGGTATAGTGTTCTTTTGGAATGTTTACACTTTACCCTTTTTCATTCAAATGCTGATTTCTCTCCCCCACTGTCTGGTTTCAATCAGGACATTGTACTGTGCTATTTATTCTAAGCATCACCTGTCTCAACTTTGTGTAAAGATGCCAAAATAAAACAACCAGCCACAATGTTGAGCAAGGGAAAGGAAGCAGGAAGAGAGGGAGGAGCCAGAGGACAGGAAAGTGGGAGGGAGAGGAGGGAGAAAGGCAGAAGAGAACTGGGAGAACAGAGGCAGGAGCAGAGCTCTTGGAACAACATGGAGAGATGGACTGGACCTAATATATCACTAAAAGAAAGTATAATGTGGGAAATCTAAATGTTAGGAAACTATGAGGGCTTGGAGGTTTAGGATGGAGTAACTATTGCCTGACATTGTGTTCTAGGTTAATTAAATAAATCCCAGTCTCTGTGTGGTTATTTGGGTTTATAGCTGTTTAGGATTAACAGCAGCATTAACAAAAGATAAACCAATAGTAAATAATAATTACCACCTACAACAACTGACCATATATTGATCATTAAGCAAGCCTCAACAGATACAATAAAATTAAAATAACCATGGATTAAAGCTGGACTTCAACAAAAATGGAAATAACAGGTTTTATACATACATCAATACACACATATACATGTATATGTATGTATGTTTATAAAACACAAATACTGATAACTGAGATTTTCATTTGATTACACTGAGTGGAACTTTTAGGTTGCCTGTTTGGAGTAAAAGCTAGTAGTTTGTCTTTGTGAAGGAGATCACGTTGAACATACAGTTCTTATTCTTTTTTTTTTTCTTTTAAAGATAAAAATAGCAGTCTTATTTATTAATTAAAGGATTTGAAATTCTGTTTGTTTTTTTTAATTTATTAATAATTACAGTTTATTCACTTTGTATCCCCCCCCCCCTGTAGATCCCTCCCTCCTCCCCTCCCAATCCCTCACATTTCTTATTCTTACTCCTTTCAAAGTATTTCCAACTTTCTGCTTTCTGGACACAGAGAAGTAGGGTTCTTTAGTGGGTCTGCTTTGGTTAGTGACATACAAAGGAAAATGGTTAAGTGTCCTCTTCAATGTCAATACACCATTAACTACTGCTTTTTAGTTTCTACCTTGCGATCATAAGTGAAGGCCCCATCTGAGTCCCTAAGCAAGCAAGTAACAGGCTTCTACTATGCCCTTACTATACAGTGCATGAGCTAGCCATGTTTGTTATTATTAAATACCTACCAGGTTTGCTGTCGATACAGTTGAGGTATATACACTGGAAGTTTCATAGTTTTGTTCTAAAGGAAATAGCCAAAAAAAGAATATTATTAAGCTTGAAATTCTATAAATAATAAATATAATAAAAATAAATCCAGATCTACCTTACCTAAAAATAATCTCCATGATATCCTACTAGAAAACCAAGAAATATGCGTATACAGATTGTTTTAACTTGGCAAAGCAAAATTGTTTGTAATTGTATTTTCTTAAATTTTACGGGCCTATTTTCAAAACTAAAATGCATAAATGGTTGAAAGCAATTTGAGCTTTCCTATTATGAGACAGAAGACAAGGTAAGCTGTCAACAGTACAAATTTCTGCTCAAAATTCCGTTAGGTGTCAAGAATATTTTCCTCTATAAAAGTAGGAGAGAAAATGTTGAAATCTCTTATTAGTAAAGTCACTCAAAATGTCTCATACTTCCTTAAAGTAAACAATTATCCAGAACTTTTTGAACAGTAATGTATTATTGACTGGTAAATGGCAAAAACAAGCAAAGCCACAATACAAAAGAAAATAACTGTTAAGTGTATACAGACAGTTTTAGAGACAAATTTCAGTTTGGGTATATAAGAAGAATGGAGTATGTTTGGGGCAATGATGAAATTGTAGAGCTGATTGTGCGAATGCACCAAAAAAAAAAATCAAAAAACAAAAACAAGCAAAAAACCACTGAAGGATACACTTTTGAGTAAGTAAACTTTTGGGTATGTAAATTGTATCTCAAGTTTAAAAATAATGTATCTGTGCCATTATCAAAAGCATGGCTGCTGGGCACAGTGGCACAAACCTGTAACCACAGCAATCAGGAGGCAGAGGTAGGCAAATGTCTGAGTTCGAGGACAACCTGGTCTACAAAACAAGTAAAGGGCAGCCAAGGTTACACAGAGAAACCCTGTCTCCAAAAACAAACAAAACAAAAGACTATATACAGCCATTGCCACATTTTAGGCTTTTGAAGCTCAATTTCTTCACGTATAACACAGGGGTGCCATGTTTCTCGTAGCACACTAAAAACTGCCATTCAATCATAAATACTTACTAGCATACAGCATTTAATAAATACTATTTTTTTTTAATTCAAGTAAGAGCTTATAGCTTTTGTAGGCTCTGGAATTTGAACTCAGGGCCTCAATCTGCATGGAGAACACTTTTACCCACTCAAAGTATCTTACCCTGCACGGAGTGAGATGCTTCAGATACCACATAGACATGAAACACTGCAAAATATTTGCAAGTACTGATATACAAATGCTACAACAATCATCTCTTCAAAAGTTACTGAGCACTAACTAACTCACCGTTGTCACACTGGACTTTGCTGTTTTTTCCATTCAAAGCTGGTTTGCTTGAGCTATAGCCCTTCCTTGCCATGTAACATGCTGAAGCAGCAGGATTCGTTGTAGAGGGACCACCATTTCTCTGTACCAAAGAAAGACATACACATGGGAATCTTTCTGTATTAGTCAAAACCAAAAGAGCTAGAAGGCTGTTCTAAAAGTCAATTAAAGAACAAGAACCTAAATTTTGAGTTACTACTGTAAGAGAAATGCGTGATTATTTTAATACTTTGAAATTCAAAATAGGGGAAGAAGACAGAAAATGTTCGTTTATACATGCACCAGGATGTCTCCACCCATATCTTCTTCTCATAGCAAGTTTAAAACATGTCTTTTCTTAACTTTAATGCTCTCTCTACATAGTTTCTGAGTATTTTACTAAGTTTTTTATACAAAAATGTTAAAATTAGGGCTGAGGAAACAGTACAGAGGTAGAACACCTTACATGTGTAAGACGCTAGTTTTGATCCTTGGGGTGGGATGTGGTGGGGTAGGGTTGGAAATCATATTTAACATTTCATCATAAAGCTTTTAAAAAAAAAAAAAGAACAAGAAACATCTTTTCCAGTGAAGCTTTCACCCACTTACAGGTAAAGTTGGATAAGCAGTCTCATTCCCTTCTTCAAGTGCATAATATGTAACAGCTTCTTCCGCTCCATTCTCTGGAGCAAAACCATACTGGCATCCCTTATTTGTTTTACGGTGGCTACGCCTAAAAGAACATAATTTGAAAATCAAAACAGGGAAATAAGTTAAAATATGGTAGTCATTTGCTTCTAATTACTCAGTGAAAGATAAACATATCGAAACAGATGTTTTTAGGTTTTCTGTGTATGTGTGCTTTGCTTGCATGTATGTCTGTACACAAAGTGCATAGAGAGGCCTGGTGCTGGTAGAGCAGAAAAGGGTGTCACACCCCCAGGAACTAGAATCACAGATGGTTGTTAGCTACCAAGTGGGTACTGGGAATTAAGCTCATGTCATTCAGAAGAGCAGTTGATGCTTTTAATCCCTAAGTCACCTTTCTAGCCCCAAACTGAGGTTTTAGAAAGTTGGTACACATTATCATTGCTTTGTAATAAAACCTCACAGATTTTTTCCCTTAAGTTTCAACATTTCAAATTCTTACCGAGACTTATTTGAGACATTATCAGAGCTCTGGCAGCACTTTCTACCTGGACCAGGATAAAATCCAACTTTAGGATTTGGAATGTTTTGCCTGTTTAGTAAGTGAGATGAATCCCTAGGAAAAAAAGAAAAAGAACAGCAAGTGCTTAACTCTTGCCAAATTAACAGTTTTCTGAAATCATTCAACTAGAAGAATTTTTGTACTAGTATTAAGCCTATCCAATATTAATGGATACAGAGGCATATTTCATAAAGATACTTGTAACAGACGGCATTCTATGTTTGATCATCTCTTTAACAGTTCACATTTCTGCAGGCAATGAAAATACAATTATGCCAATAGATAATACGAATAAGTACAGATGAGCTCTATGTTCTCTTTTGGCACAAACTATAAAACTTGTATTTGTCAATTCTACTACAATTCAGTTCAGGAGTGATTTCTAAAACCCCAAACAAAGACATACATTATCATGAATATCAGCTCATTCTTACCTGGGCAACCCACAGCCCCAACCTGGTCTCTGAGATGAATGTTGAGGGTAGAAATGTCCAGTAGACATAATCTGGCCAGTTGTCTGTGAGTAGTACAATAGTGGGTCATGCCTATATTGCATATTATGCTGAATCCTATTTGGCAGAAGGGGACATCCCCTGCTATAAGCCATAGTCATGTAAACTTCTTTCCCTCGAACTTTCTTCAACATCTTCTTCCGTTGTTTCATGTTCATCTCTGCCATAACTTTCAGAAAACACATAGTAAATAAGCTTTATAACCAAAGTAAAAGGTCATGTTACTCTGCTCTCATCATACTGTAAAACTGTCAGATACTTTTCTAAGGAGCAAATCAAAGTGTATGTAAGTTTAAGGTAGAAACTTATGTCGTTTTCAAGGGTGGACTTAATCTTCAGTTGGAAGGGCCAAAAAAACAGTTCATTTCTATGTTGCTGGGCATTTCAATATTCGGTATTTCAGCCCTCTATAATTGAGAGACTTAGTCATTAAAAATTTGGGGTCATCTAATTTTCTCTAAAACATTATATTGAATACTTTGGTTGCTTTTGAGATATCTTCCTGGTTCTTTGAAAATATTGAAAATATTTATCAGCTTAAACTTATATGAGGTCAACTCCCTCCTACAAAGTTACATCCACTAATGTCTGAAGATAATTTTATTGTTACACTAGGCAAAAGAGGCTATTAGATCCTTGGCAGAGACAACAAGGATCACCCTAAAATTTAGAGGATAGCCCTCTCCTCTCCACCAAAGCATTAACTCTCCCATCACAATAGTGTAAAAGAAATGCCAGTGTAAAAGATATATGCAGGACATATATCATACCTTTAAAAAGTAATTTTTCTTTTTGGTTTTTAAGACAGGGTCTATCTGATTAGCCCTGACTGGCCTGGAACTCACTCCATAGACCAGGCTAGCCTTGAACTCACAGAAATCAGAATGCCTCCTGCTTCTGGAGTGCTAGGGCTAAAGGCCTGAGTCATCACTGCCCAATTAAAAAGCACAACTGTTAGTAAAATAAACTACAACAGAAGAAGACAAAAAACATTTAGGATACAAACCCATTTCAGGGAAATAGACTCCATTTAGACTCTGGTAACCTGTTAATTGATGAAGAGGTATAGCATTCCAGGGAGGAAGAAGTGCCACTTGGTTGACTGGTTTTACGTTGGCCAGTGGAATTGCATGCCTTGAAGTGAAAGGTACCATAAAGTCATTATAACACACTTAATTCTCATTCACTACACAAATGTTGACCTCTAGTTTCATTTTTAAGAACATTTTTTTTTTCTGTTGTTCTTGGAGACAATGTCTCACTGTGTAACCATGGATATCCAGGAACTTACTACATAGACCAGGCTGTCTTCTTCAGCCTCCTGAGAGTTAGAATTCAAAGCATGTGCCACCAACCCCCGGCTTAAGGGCATTTTCTTTAAGTCTGTTTCCACAGGATTTCCTAGGCATTTGTTGTGTATTTTTCCCTTTAGTTTAGACAATCTAAATAAATGTAGTTTACACAATTTCATAGATGGTTAGGAGTACATACACATGTGTGCATGTAAACAACAGTTAAGGAAAAAAGAGTTCATGAATTTGAGTGGAGAGAGGTAGTATACAAGAAGATTTAGAGGGAGGGAGAAATGATTATATCGTCATCTCAAACATGAAATAATTTTAAAAACTCATAGCAAGGGCTTGGGGATACTACTAGTTAAAAGTGCTTTTCTAGCAAGCCCAAGATCCCAGGTTTAATTCACATTACCAAAACAAACAAAACACAAAGCATCAATGGCCTGGGCCTTCTTAACCACCACATAATGGACACACTAAATGAGGTAGAAATTAACTTTATTGTTTTAAAGCTGCTGGAATTTTGTTGTTAGGTCAGTTGACCATAGGTAATATATTTTTTTAGACTTTTTTTTATTTTAATTTTTATTAATTACACTTTATTCCCTTTGTATCACCCCTGTGCCTCCCTCCCTCCCCCATCTCCATGCATGCCCTTCCCCAAGTCCACTAATAGGGGAGGTCTTCCTCTCTTTCCTCCTGATCCTAGTCTATCAGGTCTCATCAGGAGTGGCTGCATTGTCTTCCTCTGTGGCCTGGTAAGGCTGCTCCCCCCTCAGGGGGAGGTAATTAAAGAGCAGGCCAATCAGATTATGTCAGAGACAGTCCCTGTTCCCATTACAATGGAACCCACTTGCACACTGAACTGCCATGGGCTACATCTGTGCAGGGGTTCTGATTCTTGGTTGGAGTATCAGTCTCTTAAACTGAACCACTAGCATTATTATCATACTAGTACAAAATTCAAATTCTTGGATCCTACCTCAGAATTACTGAATGAGAAACAGGGAATGAGCTTGATTTCTGTTTGCAAAGCCTTCAGTATAAAATGTAAAAAGCAATGAAATAACTCATCTTGATAGCAGCAAAGACTTAACAACACACCTTTCCAATTACTATGAATAATTTTATATCAGAATTTTATTGAAACTAATTTGACATGACAAATAAACAGGGCCATACTTAAACTTTAGAATTTTTATATATAATACCTATTTTGATATTTCATTCTTTAACATTCATTTTAGTAATCAAAATAATTAGATCAGCAGATAATTCTGGTTCTCTCACCTAACATCGTGATAATTCTCGATTTAATGAGTAAGCACCCATCAAATTTAATTACTATAGTCTTACCTTTCTGCCAATTCCTCAATGAAAACTACTACTGAGTTTTTATCATTTTCAATTTCTTGAATATGACCATTGTAATATTTTCCACCTGGTTCCATGAAAACCTGAAAGACAGGGAGAAGTAGTTGCATATTTCATCTGGTCTTGACCACTGACAAATCTATGTTCAAACAACCATTTTTCTCCAAACATAATTTAATGTCTACATTTTTAAAGTAACTGAGATCATGGCTAATCTATGACACATATATCAACTTACATCTAACTATCACAAAATATGTAATTAAAATTTAATACAACACAAACAATAAAATCTTAAGCATTTTGTAAAGAAGTCTTGATCAAAGTCTTTGTTGCTGTGTTAAAGATCTAATGCAAAGCCTTAGACATGCTGGCCAAGTATTTTACCACTGAGCTATTCCCTAAACCCTTGTTTTACTCACACAAGGTCATGGTATAGCTATAAACCTCAGCCTGGAGTTGAATGTATGAATCCTGGGTGCCAAGATGACAGACATGCATCAGTAAGCTCAGGGTGATCAACTCACATTAATGATTAAAGGTGCAATCTTGGAAAAACAACTCATCATCTTTGAAGAGGGAACTAACCTGACACTTGTCGCCCAAACAGTAATGTCTTCCAGCATATTCCGTGCATTCTGGTTTTTGAAGTTCTATTAGAAGAAAAAGATGATTAAAGCTCAATTTAATGGCTTTTTGTTTGGTTGGTTGGTTGGTTTTCCTTTTCCAGGTAGAGTTTTTCTGTGTAGCCTTGGCTCTTCTGGACTTGCTTTGTAAACCAGGCTGGCCTCAAACTTACAGAGATCCACCTGCCTCTACTTCCCAAGTACTGGGGTTAAAGGTGTACACCACGACATGAGGCTTAATTGATTCCTTTCTTATTATACATTATTTATCTAATTTACTTTAACAAAATGTATTTAACAATGATGTCATTAGAAGAAAGAAATGTCCCAAAGGGCCATTCTAACACTCTTGGTGGATTATTTCTATGTCAATTTATTAAACAGACCTACCAGAATAGTTCTGTACTTTAAAGCAGAGTTAAATTTGTCATTTTATGTCTGGTTAAACATGAAAGTCACATTTTTTTTTTCTCCAGACAAGGTTTCTCTGTGTAGCCTTGGCTGTCCTGGACTAGCTTTGCAGATCAGGCTGGCGCTGACCTCACAAAGATCCACCTGCTTATTTCTCCCCTAGTGCTGCGATTAAAGACTTGAGCTACTGCACCTGGCTGAAAGTCATAATTTTGAAGTAATGGCAAGCAGTATCATGTACATGTGTGTATTCATTTCTATGTATTTTTTTGCTTACATTATTCAAGGTCTAATTAACTATAATGAATTCATCACAGTTCAAGGAATGGAATGTGAGACAGCCCCTTGTGGATGGTATAGGAAGGTCTAGTTTAATGAATTCAGTAATATAGCTAGAGAAAATTATTTTATATTATATTGTTAAATTATATTAAGAGTTGTTTTTTATAAATACGTTTTGTAAAGCACCAGACAGAAAACTTTAGATATCCTAGACTACCAAACTTTCAAAAGAACTTCATTCTGGGACGGGTAAGGACACTTGTACCTGAATATTCAAAATTTGTCAATTAGACTGGATGGTAGGGGCACAAACTTTAATCCCAGCACTCAGGAGACAGACGCAGGTAGATCTCTGGGTTCAAGGCGAGCCCGGTCTACAGAGCAATTCCCAGGACAGCCAAGATTACACAAAGAAACCCTATAGCACATAAAGCATAAAAAGAAGAGAGAGAGGACAAAATTTGTCCACTGACTTCCCACACAATGCCCCACATCATCCGAGCATGTATACAGATAAATACACAAAAGATAAACAAATGTCATTTTAATAAAATCATTCCACTCTCCTATAAAACTTAAACTTAATGATCACTGATGTTTGAATCACGTAATTTTCATGCCTTATGACTTCTTATAGTTTAATAAAAGTATGTCTTACAGGAAATAACTCGCAGGTGGGCAGCAGTGGCAAACAACTTTTAATCCCAGCCCTTGGAAGTCAAGGATCTTTGTAAATTCAAGGCCAGCCTGGTCTACAGAGCGAGTTCCGGGACAGCCAAGGCTACAAAGAGAAACCCTATCCCCCCAAAAATACAGCAAACAACCCAACAAAAGAAATAACTTGCAAGATGATCGCCTGTATCTATCAATATTCAGAACTAAACTGCTGATACTTTAGTACCTTTATTACTGTCCAACCAAGCATCAAATTCTATATTGCGATAGATTTCTGGAGCCAGACCTTTCAGCACCTTATAAGGAAAAGGCATCTTCGGTGGATTTTCTGAAAACTGAAATACAAATAGTCATACTACAAAATCATTCTTTTATGAATGTAGGTTCTTTTCTTCTTTTGAAAACTGTATATAATTCCCCTTTTGTTGTTATAATAGCACAAAAATTTACTATGTATTTAGTAACAAGAGACTAAAAGAGCCAGACAGGCCTAAAAACAGATAGGTTTTACATACAAAAATATTTCTCCTGTTTCTTCAACTTTAAGAGGTGGATGATTAGAGGTAATCATGGCTTTGGCTTGGCTCGGACTGCGGCCAGTCAAGCTGGTTCAGTTCTGCCCATTTGTGAAGAATGTGGGGTCCATAGGATCTCTGGGTCACACTGCCCTCTCACCGCAGGACCTTTCTCCCAGGCAGTGAGCAGTGAGAAGAGTCTGTGCCACCAACCACAACTGCTCGGTGATTGCCAACATGAGGCATAATGGCTCCAAGCCATGCATGGACGTCTTATTGAGAGCTTGGGTACTGGCTGTTTTTCCAAGGTTCTAACCTCACCGCAAAGAAAAATGATTGCTGCTCTGGCCTCCCCCATCTGGGTCCAGAAAGCAGTAGGGGCAGCATCTGCACCCAGTGCAGACAAATCTGGCCCAGGTATGGGTGCCAGCGCTGACACTGCAGAAGAGTCTAACAATGGAATTTTAGCTTGGAACTAAAGATAGTCATCTAAGAAGAGCTGGGCTTAATCACTCAAAATGCTGCACAGAGGTCACAAAACAGACTAAAGGTGTAAGAACCCTAACATTTAACACATGCCTGTGGGGCAAGAGAAGTAAGACTGGGTAGTGAAGGGTCTGGACAGATTTGAATTTTTCTTTCTCGCTTTCCCTCACTTAACCATATGTGAATTTGGCTTCAAGTATCTTTAATTAAATATTCATTGCCAAAAAAGAGATGATGATTAGTACTTAATTTCAAACTTACACGGCATTGCCCATAAAAATGAAACAACACAATCACAGTATTGATTACAAACTAATTATCTATTAATTTCAAAACAAAAGTTTGTGAAATACCTCAAGTGTTCAGAGTTAGTTATAAAAATTCTAGTACTTCTTAAGAATAAACATTCTTACAAAATATATATTTTACACTTTGTGGCAAGCAGGATTTCCACGAAAAAAAACATAAGCTTTTTTTTTTCCCCAGCTCTATATAATTAGAATGGACTAATATGGTCTTGTTTTAAACTATGGTGCTCGAAGAAAAGTGTTTGAACATAATTTGCCTGAGAAGATATCAAACCTTTACTTCTTCTGTTCCTTGTTTACTGGCTTTTGGTGTACTTTCGACATTGGAGCAGGCACCAACCTCTTCATTGCTAATTGAAAAGATTCAGAGAGAAGAGTATGATATAAAAACAGCAGTTACTTGTTTCATGGAGTGGAAGTACTGGTTTCTTTAAAAACACAGTTATGTTATATAAATATGTTTTCGTTTTAATGTTTTGTTTTAATATGGGTACATTTTCACCATATTTCCACTGGGTTTATGTTGTTAAGTATATTTTACAAAATACTAATTTCCTTTTAAGATGGTCCCAGTGACCCTGACTACTAATGTTTACATCACACACACACACATACACACACACATACACACACACACACACACACACACACACACACACAAAGTGTACCAACACCATAGTGCCCCAACCCATCTTGGTGGTTTCTCTTTCTCCTGCCACCAGGAGGATGGTAAGCAGACAAGCTCACCAAGCCAAATGTAGGTTATTCCTTTTACCAGCCAAGAAAATCAGTAATAATAATAATAATAATAATAATAATAATAATAATAATAATAATAA